TTTCGTTATTTTGCACTATACGTCGTCATTCGACGTTACTTCTTTTCATAGAGATATTATAGATAGAGAAGGGGAGCTATGCCACTCCTGGCCATACCACAGTTAAGGAGAAAAAGAAAACTTGGTATCCTATCTGTCTACCAGCGCATGCGCGAGTGCATGGCTCCGAGTGCCTTCTGAATATATCCTCGCCAACGTTAACTCTTTATGCAATTCAATTACCTTTCAATTATATTTTTTGTAATATTTCAGCATCACTAATGTTACATAATATATAAATTGCACGAATGCGTAATATAACAGCCGTACAAGTTTCATAAATTCGTAATATACAGAGCCAATTCGACAACCAACGATAGTTTGACTTTGACGACCTTTTAATCTCCATACTGCAGGAGTTATAACATGGAAGTTCAAATTAAATCATGTTATTTCTTAAAGTTCACGAAAAGTGATAAAATAATTCTCCTTTTAAAGCGTTTCGCATTTTCAATAAATCTCGTGCAAGTTTAATAGTATCGGAGAGCTTGTATTTCGAATATCGAATAAGAAAATACCATCCAAAGTAAAAGAAACAAAGATAAAATTCTGTACATCAACAGGACTATGTGCGTAGGAATGCGAAAGGCCCGAGAGCTTTCGTAAAACCGGTTTTCGTCGTAAACGTCATTTGACACATTTCTTGTGAAACACTATAGACGACTTGAATATACGTATGTACAGGGTGTCTCAGTAACTATAGCACAACCGGAAAGGGAGTGATTTTCATGCATAGGCTAATCGTAAACAAATTAGGAGTAAAAATTAATTCCGTGCCTTTCTAAGTTAAGTATTGAAATCAAGAATGTAATCGACGCGACAGCAAGAAATTACATAAAATACAACCTTAAATAAAATAACTTCCTTAAACAAAATCGAAGAAAACTTTCATTATGAAAACGTTAACGATACTTTCGCTAAGTAAATTTATACAGTGTGTACCAAATGTTACGTTAATACAGGATCATTTGGAAATACGTTAGGTTTAAATCAAGAGATTTGGACCGTGAAGGGTTGAAGAACATTTCGAGGTTTATACTATTGCACTTGGTCGTCCGATGATCGAGTAAATGGAGCAAATAATGACGCTATAAATTTCATGTTTCTGCGCAGTCTGCTATAATGTAAATTTATCACGCACATCTAACGACGGACGAATTGAGAAAATGAGTCGTAGCGTTTTCTTACTCACGCCTATAAGTATGCATACAGAGATGGATAAAGTTTCGTAGAAGAAAAGATCTGAAATATTATTTGAAACGCGGAAAACACATTAGGAGGCCAAGTATTGTTTGTCGGGGTATTTTCTTTTTTACGGAGAATTTTACGATTATCAGAAAAACTTGCTACAATTACAATGTAACATTTCATATATACAGATAATATTTTCATTTAAGGAACTTATGAACAAAGAAATTCAAAAGGCATAAAAATAAAAATAAAAAAGCAGAAACATTGTTTGATCTAATTTTGATTTACAGGGTGTCCCAAACATGTTGGAGGTCCTTGAAAGGGGTGGTTCGGGAGGTGATTTGAAACAACTTTTTCCTTTGCAAAAATGTCGGATGGCGGTTCGTTAAGTAGATATTAATAAAAAAAAGCCGACCAATCAGAGCGCGCGGATACCGTTAGAGCGGCCGCGGTAGCGAAGGCTACGCGCTGAGCGGCCGCGGTAGCGAAGGCTACGCGCTGAGCGGCCGCGTCAATATCCTTCGATGCACGCCGAGTCACTTGTTCGCGTACGAGAGCGGCTACCTAGCGCGTAGCCATCGCTATCGCGGCCGCTCCAACAGTATCCGCGCGCTCTGATTGGTCAGTGTTTTCCGTTAATATCTCCTCAACGAAGCCTCGGACAACAATTTCGCTAAGGAAAAAATTGTTTCAAATCACCCCCTGAACCACCCTTTTCAAGGACCTCCAACATTTTTGGGTCACACTGTACATCGTAAATTTCGAATTACGATATCTAGATTAATATATACATCACGTGATAAATAACCTACACAACGGCCATATTATTAGGAAATTCCATATACAAAGCATAAACTAATCAAGCAATACAACGATATATACTTGAACCATGTACGATGAACACGGTAGAATAAAAAATACAAGTATTATTGGTAAATAACAGATGTGAAAGATTCATTTTCCACTTGCAATGCGGCAGGTTTCACGCTTACAGAAACAAATTCATATTTTACAATTCTTTTCAAGTTTTTGATCGCTTACTTCAATTTTCAATTCTTAAGTAATTTCACGAAGACTCGAGTGATTTAATTTAAAAAAAGTAAGCTGGATTACTATCTAATTATTTCGGTAATAAACAATTCAACTTGATGAAAATAAGTCGAATTTCGTTTGCGTTACACGTGCTCGTGCCTATAGGAGAAGTCACACTTCATTTTTAGCTTTCCCCAATCTAAAGTCGACCCTGCGGAGAGTCTAACAGATCCAGGACGAAACACAGTTATTTACATGAAACTTCGTATAAATGGGGCAGTCGCTTAAACGTGCCAAATTGTTCTGGTCCCAATGCGTCCCATTGAATCGGTATCAACTATATTAGTATTATTATCAAACTATTTTCCACATTGACACAGTGCACATACGTGTTTTAATTATTATTAATTTGGACAAACAGTTAAAAGTTACTTTTTAACCTCAAATTTCAGATATCTCTTATTTTGCGAAATAAGTAGTTCAAGGGAATCCATGATTCATGACCCATTTTCACTTAAGCCACTGAAACGATTTCAGATTTTGACTGAGTACTTTATTAACACGTTCACTGCCAGACTAAAACTCTTGAAAATTTCTACCGTGTTTAAATTTTGTTTACAGACTTTTGGAAACTGCGTAATGAAACATTTATTTTGGTATTTAGTTTTGTAACTTCATCAAAATTCAAGTATTTCATTTCAATTCATTTTCTATGACTGTACTTAACATCGAGAATTAATTTTCGTAGTTTTTCAGTGTCACCCATATATGGGCGACGTGGCCATCAACGTGTTATAATAGTCCTGAGATTTTCAGGAAAAAATTACACGATAAATTGTTTAAAAAACGATGATCGTTTCTTTCTCTTCAAATTTCTTAATTCAATATGCTCGGTAGATTTATAAAACTTGCTTTTATGATCCCTGAGCAAAATTAATCGAAATGGATGAAGCCCACAATTTTCCAGAAGAGTCATTTTTCTAAGAAGCGGACCGATTCACTTGTCATCCGATTTACCTCATCGATCTATCGCATTAATTTTCATATTCGAATTTGGTAACACTTAACACGAAACTAAATTCATAAATACCTTCTGTGAATATTAACGACACCTTATGTTATTAATACATATTTAGTTACTTTGTAGATGTGCATTTGTAGATATAAAAATTGACTTTTATCTAACTATCCAGAAAGATGTATTAAACTCTACGGATCAACTCCAATGATAAGCAAGCAGATTTTTGACATCTGTTAGGTTATGGATTCTATTAAGAGTTATTTCAGACAGCGTTCATCTTGAGACGCCCGGTATATCGAATGACTGCATTCTTTTGCATAAATCACATACCACCATATGTAAACGTGTATCTAGTGGGTTTAAATGCAAGCGTGTATACGAACATTACAAATACAGGCATACAAAAATTACTTTTAGAGTTATCTATACTATAAACGTTCAAGAATATTAACACTTTGACTTCGGATGACGCAGATAAGCACCATTGAAATTTTTCATGTTTAAAAATAAATTTATAATGCGTAATAAATCGTTCGTAAATGCTATAAGTAATGTTTTTTTTCTCAAATCAGAACAATTGCAAACGTTTTAATTCTATTTATTTCGGCATTACCGACACTAGAACTGTCTACACTACACATTGACAATTGTTTCCGTGCATACCAAAAAAAAAAAAAAAAATACTAACTTTATTACTTTACTTTAATGTAAAAAAACAGCTGGTAAATATTTCTGTTTAAACTAGAGTTATACATAGCTAGACGTGAAGGCAGAGAATTCATTTCTATGCTCTGTACATTGCTGTGAGAAAAATTTCAAATTTATATTTTTTTAATAAAAAAAAAAAAAAGTTGAGAACCACTGATAATCGTACATAACGCGAAGAAATAATCTACCCTTCTCCTTAAAATTCATCTAAGAAACATTAACTACCGACAAAGTTGCAAAACAGTTTAGAAATCGCCCCGAAATCAATGTGTTAAAAAAATTGCTATAAATCACCAAAGAATCGAAACGGAAACTACGATTTTGCAAGACGTGTCACAAACAAGCTGTGCATTTTTCTTCGTCACTGTTTCTCAAACACTCGGTTCACTTTAGTTTCACTGACAATACCCCCCCACCCCACGCTTTCGTTTCATATCTTGTTTCCTCCGTGGTATGCGATGATTCTGGGCCGGGCTGTTCGAACAGCCTGCTTCGAATTGTGTCAAGATTACCCGAACCGATCGATCGGAAGTATCTTCGGTCCCACGAAATCGTAATTTCTTCTCGACGATTTAGTTTGTCCAAGTTAATTTTCTATTCAGCTCGGTCGGCATTGAGAAAATTCGGAAAATAAACGGAAGATAGGAAGGGCAGACCGGGACGCATGACACGTGACACACGATCGAGATACGATGTTTGCAAGGAGTCCGTTGCCGATTATGGCAAACTATGAGGTAACAAGAACTGGTCTCCCATGGCACGGCCAGCGTTCCTCGACGTTGCGCACTTTTTCGCTCGCGCGAGTACGTCCAGCGAAATTTGCGAGATCTCGGAAAGAGATACACGAGCGTTGAATTTGACGCGCATGTGGAAACATATTTGGTTCGAGGTTCAAGTATAAATCGTTGTAGGCGTAAATCATGCAAACGTAACTAAGGCGTGTCGCGTACGATATTATGCATCGCCGAAGGTTCACAAGAATATTATTAGTGGATTAATGGTTGCTTACCTTCGTCTAGTAGGCGCTCTACATGTATAAAGACATTAGGGAAAGCAGCTAACTGCTTTCTGTCTTTTAGTAACTGTGACAGATAGTCCGCTATACTCTGCGTCGTCGTGTTAGTATTATCACACATCGCAGTTACTTGATTACTCCTATGGCGGTCACGCGAAAAAAAAAACAGAAAAAGATGTTGGAAAAGAAGGTGTTTCAAATAGAGGGAGGCGTGAAATAAAAGAGAAACGTTAAACTCGTAAACGGATTAAGAGAGACGACGTTGCGATTAAGATTCCAAACAACGGTGGTTCTTTCACGTTTAGTTTTGCACAACGTTAACGTAGATATATATATATATATTTCCGTTATTCACTGTTGTATTCACTTTGCCTTCCTATTCCGTTCGCACAATTAATATACCCGTGATTAATATAACTCGATGTTCGTAAGACGCGCCTCCTCACTCGTGGTTTCTCTCTGGCGCGCTCCTCGCATACGTCGCCACGATTGCGTTACGTTTTTAGAAATAGCAGAGTCAGTATACTATGTGTGAAGAGAAGGAGGGGGCGGAAAAGAAGGATAAGGAAAAGGGGGGGAGAGACGTAGGAGAGACAGAAACAGAAAGGACAGATACAGGGTAGGAGGAAGGACAGGGAGAGGAAGAGAGAAGGGGAAGAAGAGAAAGAGAGGACAGACGGAGGAAAAGGAATAACAAATAGAGAGAGGGGTAAGGCTGAAGAATTAGACAACTGAGAGAAAAAGAGAGAGTACAGCCTCTCTCGCGAGTTGGCTCCGTTAAGGTTAAAAGTTAGATTGTAGATCGCGAAATTAAAAACAAACACACGCTACGGGATTCTCGGCTCTACTGCATCGGCCGTGTATGTGCCGCGACAAGCTACCCGTAGATTTCTTCGCTCGGGCGCATGCGCAGTACACGGTTTGCGCATGCGTATCCCGCGCAACGCTTGTTGCGTTCCTCTGCGGCACGTTTCTACCGCCCACTACCATATACGGCCTCTGCGTACGCGCGAATACTGAGGTACACGCCATACCATCGTCGCACACAACTTGGATCATTCAGGGACGCACTCATCTGGTTGCGTGCCCTACATCTTACGTACTTCGTGATTCATGAATTGCTAGTCATTTCGTAAAACACTTTTTAGTAACAGATTTATAGCAAATGAAAATATGAGGAAAGCTATAAAAATGTGCATAGATGCAACAAAACTATATACAATATCAACAATAATATACATGTTATACCGCTTAGAAAATAAGATGTACTTTCACTCGAGTTTCGATTCTTTTTCTTTATCTGTGAAAATATGTGAATTTCCATAAAAATTCCCAGTCTACTTGTTGTGCGAGAAGCAATAGAATTCTAAACTAATTCTAAACTAATATATACACAGCCGATTAATCGTTAGTCTTTATCCTCTAAGTGTTCCTTGTAAAAAAATACATTTCTAAATCGTCATAAGGAATGATTTTCACCGTAAATTTAATTATTTAGCGAAACTATCGATTTGTTTTTACTGTACGTGTACAGTAAGTCCTCTTTATCCAACGTAATAATTGCCTCCTATTCAACTTCAACTACATATTCCAAATTTAATCAAATTAGCTGCCTGAGTACTCAAACACGCCAATGCTTTAAATAAACCTTAAACTATATTTAGATTTCAACGTTCACTCGATATTTTAAAGTGAGCTGAAACTTATTTTCTGTGCACAAATTCTTATTTCGTATTTAACAAATTAAAGGACCACGTATGATGACATATCGTTATAAATTACTGGTGCACGTTTTTAACGAATGTGCAATTATGTGCCGTGAGTCACAGAAGTATTTGTGGTCTCTTAACTGCTGACTCGAGATTGTTGATTTCCCCTTAGAATAAATGTTAGGTGATCCTTTTCGATCAAAATATACGTTGTATTAACTTAGCTTTCAAACGATGAAACATAGTCAGCATTTGTAATGTATATTTATATACATATACATAAGGTGTATAGTTGGCTTTTTGTCGTTAGCGTCTGTTGTTTATTTCGGATATTAATTTGTATGTATACAGGGCAGCAGTATTGAGGCTGTTGTTGTCAGATCACGCAACATAGAAGAAGACCATAAAGAGTTCAGGGTAATGGGAAAAGAAGTTGTTCTCTTGAACTTATTCTCTAAGAAATATTTTCTTGGTAGAAACTTGAAAATGAAGATAAAGAAATGAAATGGAATGAAATCAAATTATTTTCCACAAAAACATACTAAACAGAATTATTGTTTTGTACAAAAAATTTCGTGTTAATCGAAATCTAAATTAATACAGTGTATTTATTGATAAAGCTCTTATGACATTTTGTCTTAAAATTATATCACACAAGTTTTATGTCGAGAGTTAAACGAGTACGAATACTTGTGCGACTCATTGTAAATGAAAATGGTGAACATACAGGGTGTGGCACATTTCGTCCTTCGTTATAGAACATTGAATAATTTCTCATTAAAAAAAAGTCACAAATGTATAATACACTTCATTCGTATGCAGTTAAAGATTTACAAGAGAGATAACCGATAATCAGTTATTTTTCAATTAATGGAATTTCCCTAAAGACTTCTTCAAATTTCCGTTAATATTTGTTCGTAAGAATTGAAAATGTCGGGTTTAGTCTCGATTAAAAATATTTATGAATAATTCTAGACGTTCAGAAATTGTCGAAATTGTCGTTCCTGTTGCCGTATACAACTTCGCGCTGGGAGGATCAAGGAAGCTTGAAACCATGTTAACGTGCTCTGCATCTCTAATTGTTTGGGACTTCGTACGATTGTATTTCTTAACTGGAGGATATTTTCATTACCTTCAGCAGAAACTTGCTGATAAATGCTTCAACGGAATTCATCGCGACAGCAGTGACAACTAAAAACTAATATCTAATTTTTATAATTCTATTAGAAGCAATAGAGAATACGTGTACTTCATTTTATCATGGTACGTTCAAACTCCCGAAGTGTTTTAAATATTTTGAAAAAAAATTGTCGAATGTATCGAAAGAAAAACAAAAAATCGTAAGAGATAATCTCTTCAGAGCATTAGATCTTAAAGTGGGAAACAATCTAAGATATTATTCAGATATTAAGGGATATTAACAAATGTACGTATAAATAACCAGAATTTTATCGAAGGTATTTCCACTCTTAACACCGTTTTTGGACCAAAATGAAAAAGGGGCACCGTGATTAGGTCCCCATGAATTTTATTTCCGCAAGAATTCATATTTTTTGAAGTGTGTCAATTACTGAACCTTATATTGTATGCACGTATAAATAAGAGTACGTGTTTCTGCCAAATGTCAAACGCGTCCACGGATCATAACAGAATACGAGCATGAACCTGGCAATATGTGATCTGTCCGTTTGTTACACGTTCGCGTTGACGTCTGGACGCTCCCTAATGGGAGACAAGCTCGTTTTTGCACTCCACTCATAGTGTGTCATTCACTTTCCTCATTCAAATGGTTCACATATGCTGTATTTCGTTCGCCTTGCCTTTTTTAAAATAATATACGCAAATGAGTATATACAATAGCATACTATGTTTTATTATATATTAGGTGTAGAAATTACTTCTCTATCTTCACATTTAATTATTTGTACAATTATTTGTACATTATTTTTTGGAGTGATTGTCAGAAGAAATGAAATGAAAGCTTCCTAAAGTTTGTTTAATGAAAGGTGGTATTAATTTTTTGTTATTTAGATAGTTCCTTAACAGTCGCAATAAAAAAATTGTGTTGCACCTTAAAAAATAAGTCCACCTGTGCAAATTAACTGTAGCAAAATGAAGTTGATGTCTTTGTTGTTTTTAAGAGCTAACAGCTCTTCCTTCTAACGTTTTCCAACAGTTTGTAATACAACACTAAATTTATTTATAAAGAATCATGAAATTCCTAAGTATGCAGCAAACTATAAGGACATTGGTCGAACACAGCGATCGCTAAAGGCTTGTCGCCTTAGTCTTCTCCCACGAGCGTTACCTTTGCGCTATAGAACGCGCCTACACACGTATATTGGTTAATGTAAAATAGCGTTGACGTCATGCAACATGCTCCATACATGGTCCTACTGAGAAATAACGTAGGTGTCATGCGGTATAAAGTGTTTCCCTTATTATGTTTTACCAATCGATGGATACTTTCTAATTTCTCTTGTAAGAAAAGTGAAAACTATGCAACATTCAATAACATGTAATATTCGCTTGGTAGTGGTAAAATGATTTGTTAGTTTAGTAATAAAATGGAAATTGTACGTTCGATGTTCAGCTATTCAGCTCTTCAACAATTATTTTGAAATTGATCAAGTCTTTAATGAAATGTATTTTAATATAAATTTATGAATATATTTTCCAGGTTAGCAGTCTAAGCATTACGTGTTTCTTGGAATATTTTTTATATAGAGAATTCTGGTAGTACAAGAAATCCGTTAAAAATGTTTGGATTTTCATCTTGAAACGAAATGTGCGATGTCTTTCTGCATAATTATCGTCAGTCACATTACTCGGTAAAATGACAAACCTTCGATTACCACTATCAGTCATACGTAACGCATTCACCATTCGTTTTTTTATTTCAACTGAGATATCATTATTGAAAAAACGATACGGCCGTTGAACTTGTGTTAGTATTTTTAGGTGGAACCCCTCGGCGATATTGTTTTCAAGCTTCAGCTCGCTAGCATGGACGGCGAGAGGCATTTAGTTCTTGAAAATATTTTTATTTTGTAAAGAATTTACACGATACGAGACGAGTTAAGTGTAGAGGAAACATGTATATATTTGAATCTTCAGTATACTTACCTTTTTTAGTTCTATCACCAGGAAATTCTTTGTATAATAACAACTCTTATAATTCTAATACTAATTTTTAATTAAATTCCACACTTTTCAATGGAAATGGTACAGTATAAAATAACGCAGTAAAGGATACAGCTCATGTATTAAATTCAGTGTTGGAATTACATGTACAATATACATGTTGAAGTATCGATAAATATTCAATTTTTTAATAATTTTCAAGTACAGTTATCTAGCAAATTGTCGTTTATCGTTTTCATATTTTTTCTTCTGTTGAAAAGTCTTCTTGCGAAGCGGTTGCTTCTCCGAATTTGGATTGTTCATACTTTTAAAATACCCATAACCGCCTCCACCTAATCTTTTCCGTGGTCGCGAGTTCTTGCTTATTCCTACTTCTACCATGAAAACATTGTTAAGGAAATTTAGTACACAAGTCAAATAAATCACAAGGGTATGGAGAATATTACAGCTAAATACAGTATATGTATATATAGTATATGAACTAACACATAATTGTTCTAATATACATCATTTGCAAAAGGATACTCAGGTCCATAGCTGGTGGTACAACAAATCCAAAAGATTTCGCAACTTTTGCCAAGTCCAAAGTTTCAATGTCGAAGATTTGCTTTAAATGGTGAGAATCATATGCTCTTACATATGCTTTAAATGCCTCTTTTGCTGACATATTTAAAAAATAATTTTTAGAAATCAACTTTTCCAGCTGTAACAGGCAGTAATTTAAACAAAATTAATTAATTTTATTGGAAGGTAGACCAGTGTGATTATGTCAATGTAGTGCAATATTTTTATTTTTCAGAGCATTATTCATCGCAATTCGTGAAAAAAATTAAAAACTTACCTGCAATTGAATATCAGCAATCTTATTCCATGAGAAATCAAATTCATTTACTGGCACTTTAGCTTGTTTAAGATAACGAAGAAAACCAAGTTCTTCTGGCCTTAAAATTAATAAAGCATGACCACTGCTTCCTTCTCCTCGAGCTGTTCTACCAACGCGATGAATATATTCCTAAATCGTATTTCATTTTGTTATTTATCACCAAATTAATCATTTCCACAAATTTAAATATTAAATATTTACATGAAACTTTTCTTTTGTTCGATTTGCATCCAATTTTTAAAATATTAGAGGCACATTCTGCCATTTATTCTCTATGCTGAAAAAGTATCGTAATAACCGATATGCTGATAACAATTTACCTTAGGATCATCTGGTGGATCATATTGTACAATCCAATCAACAGCTGGTATATCAAGACCACGCGCGGCTACATCAGTGCAGAGAAGTATACCAGATGTAGCATTACAAAATTGAAAAAATGTTGTTGTTCTTTTTGTTTGTTTTTGTTTCCCCTG